TTGAGAAAGTTACAATGTTATTTATATATGTTAAAGGTTCTATCATCTAGTTCTCCAATTTCTTTGAAATCCTAATTAAATGTATTGAACCTTCTATTATTTTCAAGTTATTTCTAAAATGATTCAATCATTTAAATTCCTTCATTTAAGTTTAACCTGAGAATTAAAGGTCTGTTATATACATGTTGTCAAAATTAATTTGGCTTGGGCTCAATTCTAAAAATCTCAATTTCTAACTGTGTCTGACTCAATTATTTATGTTTTCATACAACTCAATTAATTGTGTCAAAAAGTCACCTGATTGAGTAAAGTGAGTGATCAACCTATTCCTACCACATAGTTGTTACTACACATGAAGTCGAAATTAAGTTTTGACCTTATTTTGACCCTATTTCGACCAGATCTGCAAATGATTGAAATAGTTTTGACTTCATGTATAGTTGTTACATTTTAGAATGCTATAATATTTACTTCTCCATTGTTTGAGATATTTTCCGTGAGCTAATTATTTTATTAGTTAGTAATAAGATCATAAAGCTTGCAAAATATACTAACAAACATTTTATCAATTATTCAATAGTTTATATAGGGGTGATTGAAGTAAGAATTAAGGACAAGATCTATGAATAAAATATACTAACAAACTGTTTTATCAATTATTCAATAATTTGTATAGGAGTGTTTGAAGTAAGCATTAAGGACAAGATTTATGAAGCTTGCAAAGCAAGTTTTACAAAAATGAATGTTTTATCAATCATTCAATGATTATATTTATTATTTATTTATGTATATGAATTTCTATGTATGATAAATAAATCATTAATGCATATAGTAATAAATGTAAAAGAAAAATTTTAATATCTATTTATTATATTTACTTTTAAAATAAATGATTTTATATAAAAGATATACCTAGGTGATCAAATATTCATAATATTGGACATTCATTTCTACCTATACTTGTAATTGGACACATCAAACAAAATTTTGCATATATGAATATAAAGGCAAAATTTGACTTTGAGGGTCAGATTATTTTTGGTTTTATTAACAACCTGCCTTAAAAATTTTCTTAAAGCTGATACATATGATAAAGAAGTTATATCTCAAATTTGGTGGTGGTTGCTACACAGAAAGGGCATCAAATGAGGGTGTGAAGACATTCAATTATAAAATTTTACTATGTTTTACAAACCTCCATAGATCAGTGGGAAATGTCTTGTGACTGGTATGGAAAACTGTCCAATTCCATACCTTTTGTACACATGATTTATTATTTGAATTCTGTATGTTTCATATTGTTTATAACATATGTATTCAGTACCTTTTAGATGTTTTTTTATAGGGAAGATCCTGACCATTTTTCTCTAAATTTGTCTCCATGTACATTTTCATGGTGACTTTCTTGTAATAAAATTTGTTCTCCTATTTTAAATTGTACAGGTTTTATCTTCTTGTCATATCTGTCCTTCGATCCACTTGTGCTTTTTTATATTTTGTTTTGCAGTCATATGCACATGGTGTAAGTGTTCTGTAATTAATCTATGTGTTCCTCTAGATTCCATTCAAAATTGCCTTCTTCAGGGTTATTCTTTCTTGACAAGAGTGTTTCTTCATTCCTTCCATATAAAAAGGGGAATGTAGAGAACTTGGCTGATTTATGAATTTTTTTTGCAATCTTATATGAAAAATAATGTAATAGAAAGTTTTTTTTGGTAAAAAAAAGTAACTTTATTATGTTATTTGAAATTTTGGCAACAATCTAAACTGCAATTTATTAATTATTTTCACGATTTACTGATTATCCATGTGACCAAGTACTTTATAAAGCAAGATCTGTATAAAAATTTTCAGTGAGTGGTGCAGCAAATGATGTCTTTAGATTATTCGCACCATAAAACTTGAGATAAAGACTGTGTAACAAGGCAAAAAATGAAATCTTTTGCCCTTATTTTCATATATTTACCACTTTTGACTGTTACACACTATATACAAAAGTTAAAAACCAATATTAGTCACAACTCTAGTTATAGACAATAGTGAATTTACAAATTCTTATGCCAGTAACTTTTAAAATAGGCCTAGTATGGCAGGATGTTACCTAGATTATGATAATCCGGATCTTGCAATAATTAGAAGATTAATTAAGACCAAATAGAAATCTTCCTATTTTTTCTTATTTGCTTCACTGATCTCAGCAATCTTTACAACAGAATTATCAATGGCATACTATGCTCAGTTAGTGGTAATGTTCTGATATTAATATCTTTAATACTTACTCTCCAGGAAAGCCAACCAAGGATATCATCATAAAACTACAATGTGTAAATATACTTTCCAGATACAGAACCTTTTTATTATCCAGCCCATTTGTGTTTTTCATTTCTAGTTTCAGATTTTTGGAGTCTTTGAACTGTACTATTGCCTCTTTTATTCTCCTAGACCATTTGGCGTTAGTGGATCATTTGCATTTCTTTTCAAACCAGTATATAGGAGGATATTGACCATTATTATGGTCGATTTGAGGGAGCAATAATTTTTGTTAATGAAAATCATGTTTTAAAACTCGTTATTATTATAGTACACCATATTCGGGTAGACTGAATGTGACATTGAGTATGCAAGTATTACGTCATACATTCACTTTCCTAAAATCTTGTTATATATACTTTGTCTGGGTGAGAGTATTATAACGTGTATAAAAAAATAATAGACTTACTTTTTTGATATTTTTGTTTTTAAAATGGTTTAAAATAAAAAATAAAAAATACAAGCCTGATTAATGAAAGTATAAGCCCCGGGCTTTCATTTGATGCTATTTTTATGGCTAGCTAAAAAATTGATGGGCTGGATAGATTTCAAAATTCGTCTATCATTAATAAAAAATTATGATATTAATTTTTTTATATAAGACCATACATAATTTTGATTTTACATATTTGACGGACCACTCCAATAGTGTGTAAAAATTTTTATTATTTTCTTCAAAGGCTAATTTTCATAAACACAGTCAGTAAAGATACTAAAAGGCTTGATAAACATATCAAGCTTGTATTTATGTTATATTGTTTATTGTACAAGACGTTTCTATATTCAATAGTCGTGTTTCCCTCACAAAGATCTTTATAAAAGTTACAGGGGTATATGTATTATGAGAGAGTCTGATTGGCTCGTGTAGAATGAGAAAATGGGTAGTTATTAAATATTAATATTAAGCATTTATTATTAATACACTCTCTCATTAATGAATTTAATATTTTTAATTCTATTATTCTTGAAATAATATTATATATATCATTGATATTTATTTTTTCCCTAAATAGCAAATAAATTAAATGAATTAACACATACATGTATTAATTTGGAAACAATAACAAATATGATAATCGAATTCATACCAAGTTTTAACCATTTAAAAGCCGAATGACTTTTTTTATTATCATGTGAAGAATTTTTATCAGATTCTAAATTTATAGGTTTTGGAAGATCTTCGCTCATAATTAGATATTCCTCAGACAAATATGGACCATTATCTATATATTAACGAAATAAATAAATGAAATAAAATCAATGAATTAATATATTAATTATATAATATGTTAATTACCCGTAGCAGCTTTATCTTTCCAATTGAAATAAACAACTGAAGCAGGTGCCAGATTTGCTCGATAAAAAGAAACCTTTTTATCTGATAATTCCACTTTTGGAGGACTTGTATCTGTGAAATACATGAAGTTAAGTATATAATGATGATGATATTATCATTTTTATTATGGCACTTTTAGTATAATATAATGAGAATAAGGATACACAAATAAAATAATCTTTCGGGTGTCTTCAATGAATTTTTTATAAACTCATATAAGGTGCCAACTGAATTTATTATTTGGAGGTTTGAAGAAATGTAAAATTAATTATCAACAATTTGAAAATGGAAATACAAAATGTCAAAGATACAAATATTATCATCATTATTACCTGGTTCTTTTGACAAGAAAGCAACTTGCATTTGATAACTATCTGGAAATTTTACTCTGATCAAAGTCTATTTATGAGAATTATAACATTATTTTAATTATTTCTCACTTTATTTTACATATTATAATATTATATCATAACATATATTTATAAACCTTTGGATATTTTCGTTCCCTTTCTTCGTCTTCCTTTTGTCTCATCGCTCTTGTTTTAAACCCTGCATTATCTGAAGCTAATCGTTTTGAATTTTGCATTGACAATAAATTCTTCAACTCTGATGGTGACAGTTCATAAAAAGAATCTGGAAGATTAACTATATGCCATGCAATAAAAAAAGAATTATTAGTATTACTTTGTCACTTATACTTTTGAATTGTGCAATTTACAATAAGAACTTGGGAACAGGCTTACTTTTATTGGAATAGGACGCATCTTGTGATGGTGGATTATATACTTTAATGTTTCTATTAAATGGTTCTTCTCGTTCCGGTTCTTTTTGTTCTTGATCTTGTTCAGGATTTATTTTCGTTTTTTTTATATCTTCTTCTTTTTCAATATTTTCAGTCAACTGGTTTGAAGAATTAGATTCGTTTTCCATTTTTTTACAAAGAAAGAAATGAAAGAATTATTCCATTGATCGACTTATGCAAATGCATGTGCAACGTGCTCCTCTACCGAAAGGAGTATTGATTAGACCCAATTCTTCGGATTCATAAATAAAATCGAATTCTTAGAACTAACCCCGACCTTAAAAAAATATTTGACCAAATAGAGTATAATTACATATTATTGTGTGAAATCAACTGATCATTCTGACCATTAATACATTTCAGAAAGGATTTTCAAATGTGCGCATAATATTTCAATATTCAAAAGATGAGGAGAACGTGAAAGATTTTTTTTTAATACTTTGTACATATTTGGAAAAGTTGGAAAAAAAATTTTTCTTTGTTTAAAAAATTGATGTGAATGGGATAGATAGTCCAACGAGCATAGAATTACACAATTATCATAAGTTAGTTTTTCTTTGACTGTTAACAAAAAATTGTTTTTTTATTGTGTGCACAAAAAAAAATCTCGTGACGCCAATTAACGACGTCACAACATAAAAAAAAATTAAAAAAAAACTTTTTTAAAAATAAATAAATTAAAAAAATAATTCATTATTTTTTATTCCTTTAATACTATTATTAATATAATTAATTAATACTTGCTATATCATATAAATTATTTATAATGGCTCCAAAAACTGGTGAAAGTAATTTGATTGATGCAGCAACACAATCACATAACGAAGGAAATTCATTGTCTGCAAATGACCAAAAAGAGGAAATTTGGTCTTCCATTTTAAAAAGTGTTGCTTCTTCAAAAATAACTCCAAGTAAAAGCATACTGATTTTAGGTATGTTAAATTATTGATTATATTTAAATACTATTTTTATATTTATATATATTATATAAATATGTATGAAGACACATATATAAAATATGTATATATATATATATATATTATATATAGTTGTTTTTAATATGGCTTTTATATTTATTTAAGGTGACAGAGAATCAGGAAAAACAACTCTTATTAGACATCTTAAGGGTGAAGAAGAAGAGGATGCTTTTGAAGCACCAATGGTTAATGGCGGTGCTCTTCCAAATGGTGTCAAAAATGAAGCTGATGAAAAAAATGAATTTGAAAAGAAAACAAAAGATAATGACTTGGCATTAAGTTTTACTTATGTTGAAGTTAAAGATGATGAGGCAGAAGGTTGGTAATGAACTATGAAATAAAATTATAATTATGAATCATATTATATTTAATTAAATATCTAAAAAATTATATTTACAACACTCATCAACATATAAGATACCCTTGCTCGTCTTGGAATATATCAACTTGCTGGTTCTGAAGATGCTTATCGGCCACTTCTTAAATTTGCTCTTAATTATAAAACTCTTCCAGATTCACTTGTAGTAATTGTTTTAGATTGGACACGTCCTTGGACTTTTATTGAAACATTACAACGATGGATTAAATTTATTGAATCGAGTATTAAGGATGTATGTAGTGAAGGAGGCACTGGTTCAAAATCTGGTTGGACCAAGGGAAAAGCTGTTGTTGATGAGTTAAAAGAATCACGTAACCGTTTTTATTAATTAAATAAATAGATAATTAAATGTGTGTTTTATATTATATTAATTATTAATATAATATTCATATACAGTTGAACGCTTTATTCAAAAATACACTGAGCCAGCCGATCCTAATAATGTTACTAATGGTGGCGCTGATACAACAACAACGACAACAGCAACAACAGAAACAGCAAAGGCAACAACACCTACAACCACCACAACAACTGTAACTGATAATAATGACGGCGATGATGAAGAATTACCTTTAGGGCCTGGTACTTTGACTACAAATTTAGGTATTCCGATCGTAGTAGTTTGTACTAAGGTATTCATTCACTCATACATTTTGTATATATAACTTATATATTTATAATTAATTAATATATCTTCTAAAAAAAATTATTTTAGTCTGATAATGTTGAACGTGGATTTGATTATAAGGAAGAGTTGTTTGATTTCATACAGCAATCTTTAAGAACCATTTGTCTTAAATGTAAGATAGTCAAGCAATATTTTTATTTTCTACATTTGTAATAAAGATTTTATCATTAGATTAGATAAGTGGTAGTGGTAGTGGTAGTTATTTTTATTAGTTTCATCATATAATATAATCTCATATATATATTAATATTATAATATTTATTATTATTATAGATGGAGCTGCACTTTTTTACACAACAATTCGTCAAGAACAAACATTTACTGACTTACGACAATATATTCTTCATAGACTACTTGGTACAAAAGCGTTATCAGGTGATGCAAAGGCAACATATGCCTTCAGTAAAAAAGCTCATGTTGTTGATCGCGACACAGTGATGGTCCCTAGTGGTTGGGATTCTTGGGGAAAGATTAAAATTTCAAAAGAAGGATTTGATTGTGAGGGTTTACTTAATGGTTGGGACTTAGATATGGGTTATAGGGATTCATCACCACAAGAAGGTGAAGAAATTGTCAGCTCCAAAAAAATTTATGGAGATACCGTACCTAATGTTGACGCCGTTAAGGTATGTACAAGTGTTATGATTGTAGATATACAAGTATAGATATATTTGTATATGTACTCACAATTAACATTAACTTTATTGTTATTATATTACAGCCACTCTCAGCTCAACCACTTATTGAAGCAGAAGATGAACAAGAATTCTTTCAAAGGCATTTTGATACCTTACAGAAAGCCAATAATGAAAGACCACCATCAGTTGTTGGTCCAATGGGTGCTCCTCAATATACATATGGAAATATTGGTGCTGAGATTCCTGATCTTGACTCTGCCCCAGTCGAAAATTTACCTGTCAGACCAACAAAGGTTAATTTAATTATAATTAATAATAACCATATCAATTACTATTATTGCTATTATACTAAAAAAACCAAAAATTTTTAGACAAAGCCTGCCGCAGCTATACCAGCGCCAACAGCACCAATTACAAGTGGAATCACGGTTGCGCCTAACAATGCATCTCAACCTAATCAAAACGAAGTTCTTGCCAACTTCTTCCAAGCTTTACTCATCAAAAAAGGCACAGCAGCATCATCATCACCTTCATTAAAGTTAGGTAATTATTGGTCATTTTTATTTCTTTACTTTATTATTATTTCATGTTTGTTTATTTGTTATTAATATTTATTTATACTAATTTTATTTTTCTTCCTGATTAACAATAATGAACCGTCTAGCTGCTCCAATTGATCAATCAACTGATCGATCAATCGATTAATCCTCCCTACAACAATTATCCCAAAACAAAACCAAAATATAACAATCCCGTGTTTTGCAATGGGAATTTCAAAGAATTGTAATCATAATGCAAACATATGTGATGAGTGCATTAATAGATACATTGAAAATAATTTAAATGATAAAGGTGATATAAATATTAAGTTTTTCGATAGATTTTATTATTGTTTTTTATTTTATTTTTATTTTATATTTTTTTTTTTTTTTGTAAACTTAGTTATCATTTTTTTATTTTATTTTATTTTATTTGAAAAAATTTATTAAAAATCATTATTATTGACAATTGAAATAAATTTATACATAATTTCTTATTTATTTTTTATTCTACACACAGTATATAATTTTTATTCAAATAATTCAAATAATAAATAAAGTGTAAAATATTTACATTATTATTACATTTTATAAATATTGTATTCTATGCATAATTTATAATTATAATTATAATAAATAAAAAAAGGCAACTGAATATATGTTAGATCGTGATGGTAATAGTGAATATCCATTGCCCTATACCTATACTCTATATTTCTGTATATAATTTTTCTCTGCTGGATTTTATTGCAACTACATATGGGGCGTGCTGCAACAAAGCCAGGAAGGCGAGCATCATGTCACAGAGAATCAACCAATTATTTATCTCAAAGTCCATATAATGAATAATGCTTTTTTATTTTTTATCTGAAATTAGATAAATACATCAAAATGTTGATATCCTCAGAATTTGCTATAATTATAGAAGTTTGCCTAAATTAAATTGTGGTGATGCCGAAACTAAGGACACCGGCTGCAACTTTTGATGATGGTTGCTACCACCTTTACGACCATTTTGTTTCCTTTTTTGGATCGCGACATGGAACACTAGCCGAAACTCAGAAAAAAAAGTTTATAGAAATTAATAGTTCGAAACTCAGTTACTTTGCCGAAACTTGATCACTGTGCCGAAACTCAATCACTGAAACTATTTTATAATGATTAGGCATTTTTTTTTGAAACAAACTAATTATTGTTGAAATACAAGAAATTTTATTATTATTGCAAAACATTTAATATTCTTATTATGTAGAAGGTGTTATAATTCTTTGGTTACATTGGTATCAACAAAGGGTAAGTTTGGTGAGGTGTTTGCTTTGGCGGATTTGGTGTCGTTTGAAAATGCGCTAGTTGAATACCATATTCTGGATCATTTTCTTTTTAATCCAAGTCTATGATTTACAAATCTGAAAATCTTCATTAGCTATGTAAACACACTTATTATTCACACAAAGCAAACAATGAATAGATTACCCAAAGAACGCGTTTGCTTAGTTTTATTGATAATATATTTAGGAAGATACTTCTCACGCCTTCATTTTCAATTTGTAATTTGTAAATGATTCTCCCCAAAAATTTTTTATAACATAAAAAATGATTTCTTTTCAACAATCTTGATTAGTTTAAAGGACAGGATAATATCTTTATCTTTAAATAAAGATTTTGCGCATTTATAAATTTATGTGTCGTGATAAAATCAAAATATGATCTGTAAATCGATGAAATTATTACCAATTATGCTATATAGATTTAGTTTCGGCATTTGCTGAAATTTAGTAATTTAGGCAAACTTCTATATAATAGACGGGTTTAATTATTCAAATTAAATCATTTTGATCATTATTATTAAATTGTTAATGTTAATATATAACAAAAAAATAATTACTTTACTAATAATTAATGCAAATACTGACATTAATTATCGGTAAAGTAAATCATTATATGCTTTATGATTAGTTTCGGCAAAAATAATTATGCCCAAGATTTCGGCATTTTGCTTGCTTGAAAACCGAAACTAAATTTTTAATTTGCCGAGATTATTGTCGAAATTTAGTAGTTTAGACAAACTTCTATAGCTATAATGTAAACCTCACTGTGACACATGATCTTTAATTTTTATAAATATGTTTAATTTTTTTTTTTTTTATACAAACTTAATAAAATTTTTTTTAAATTGGGTAGTGATTTATTATATTGATTTTATTTCATCTTCGTTTTCATCCTCGTCCTCATCCTCATCCTCGTCCTCGTCCTCGTCCACTTTAGATTCTGATTCTTTTTTTAATTTTTCTTGATAAATCTTTAATTCTGAAATTTCATGTTGTAATGTTGAACATGCAACTTCCAATTGAATTGTTTCGCCAATCAATTCACTCCATTTATTATCCAACATTTCAATCTGACGTCCCACCTCAAGCTGATTTAAATATTATTGTTATTATCATCATATTTAATGTGCATTAAAAATATATAAAAAATGAAAAAACGGACCTGCTCTGCTTTTCTTTGTCTATTTAAATCAAAACTTTTTTGTTTATGTCGATCCAAAGATGCTTCAAGATGCCTTAAATATTGTTCTAATTGAAAATTATGAATTCTCCATGCATTAGATCCATACTCTAATAATAACTCTAAATTCATTGACCTGTTGAATAAAATGTTTAATTATTATATATTTATATAAATATAAATAAAAAACATACATTAACTGATTAATTTCAAAAAGGTACCTTAGATCTTGATGAGATGCTTGTGATTTAGAATTATTTATACTTTCTATCCATTCTTCTATGTCACTGCTATCTTTGGGTTCTTCTAACCTATATCTATTCAAATCTATACGTGTCATTGGTGTTCCTTGTTCAACACGTTGATACTCTGTTAAAAGTATCGGCGAATTCTAATAATAATAATAATAAATATAAATAAACTATTATTTCAGCAGCAATAAATTATTGAAATGAAATTTTTTTAATAACTTTAAACAATTCGATATCAGGAAAACTTGTTTTGATATCTCGTTTAATACTGGTTGGCCTTTTGCGCATTTCTTGTTCAATAAGTTTATCAACTTTTGCACTCATTCCTGTTAAAAATGACAAATTTTATACGATTAAACAAATAATCTTGAAAAAATAAAAAATAAAAAGTTCTTCATACCTTCATATTCAATTTCTTGATCATAATCTAAAAATATATTTAATATTAAATGATTTTTTCTTTAGAAATATACACACACTTAGACAAGTAATAAGTATCTGATCCTTTCTTACATGGTAATGAATCAATAGAAATATCAAGAGCATTGCTTTCTATAGCGCTAACAGTAGTAGTAGTATTTATAATGTCCATTTTAAAAAAAAAAAATATTGGAATGAAATTGAAAACAAATAAATTGAATATCTTACCTATAAAGGAAATGTTCATAGATCATGTGATCTGGTCAGGAAAATTATTTTTTAAATGTTTGTGCATCAATGAATCTTATGTGGACCAATATATTGAGTCTAGTAAAATTACTGGCATTATCGAAAAAACATTTTGATTACAAGATTTAGAAAATAAATAGATCTGCTCATTTGTGTTTTATTACCCTCATTAATATTAATGTCATACGAAAAACTTTCATGATCGATTTGTTGTTATTAATACAAGCTTTACTCGTATGACCTTCGAAAATTTACACTTAAAGTCATTCCACCTCTATCGAATGGTCATGTCCCCCCCAGGCTGGTGCTTTCATTTTTTACCTATCATTTGGAGATTGCCTGTACAATTTCTGATTTTGTCCCGATGGAATCTTTCCGATGCTGGTTAGTACCTTCCTGCCAAAAATTTAATTGTCCAAGAATCACCAAAAAACAAGGATGTTCTGTCAAATGTGTATTAATGATTGTACTTGATGGAAATTTAAACATGTAATGATTTGTGATTTCTCTTACGAAGTTCTTGTGTTCTTGTTCTTGTTGGCTGATCATGCAATAAGACACGTGTCTTTATAATATCAAAACTTCATATCTTAATTGGAAGTGAATTTATTATGTTCTATCTATGACTAGCTTCAGGGTATTACAATCTTTATTAACATAGGTTCTAGATGCGACTTTTCTAATAAAAGAGTTGAGTTGTAGTTGAAAGACGAAGAAGTAATTGTTTTTAGGAAAGTTTTTTTAAAAAATCTCGCATATTATGTGTTTCAAGGCAGAACCAGTCAACATTTAATTCTCTCATCTAGTGTATCTCGGATAAACCTAGTTATTAATCAATGCTTTTCACCATTCTCTTATCATTATCTTTGAATTGTTTTCATTGCCAATTAACATGAAAGAACTCGTGTTTCTTCTTTTACCCGTCATCTTACACTTGTAATGAAATAATACTCTTTAATAGAGTTCTTATGATTTGGATTCCTCTTAGGCAAAAGAAATAATCAAAAGAAACTAATAATAACCAAAAAAAAAAAATTTGGAGGAAGAGCAGTTGGTTCTATTAAATTTATATGAAGATTACTATGAGCCAACCGCTAAAAGAAACATTATTGAATTGTAATGGAAAACTCAATTGGTAGATGATTCGTCATCAATTCTCTAGATAAGAATGAGTGGTTAAGTCATTTTAAAAATTGTTGCTTTATTAAATAGTCATCAGAGAAATTTTTATTATCATTATTATTACCATCGATCTCTCTACAATGATATAAAGAAATTTTATCGTGACTATAACTAATTGTAAAGACATTCAATATATCCATTGCAATTAATACAGATTCCAGAATTTTAAATGTCTTTTTTTCTCATTTTACTAGTGGAATTTCTTTTTTTATAATAATTAATGAATTAGTCAAAAGTTTAAAGACTTGTTTAGTCAGGTGGCGTAGTATGTTTTTAGGTATTTAATTAATGAAAAAAAAAAGTCAGATTAAACAACAAGTGGCTTAAAGTCCTTTCTCGCCGGAGTTTTTTTCTTTATATTTTATTTTTGAAATTGTTCCTTTTGATTAATTAAGGTGGTAGTGGTAAAGGTGATGATGATGTTTGTGAATATAAATGAATATATATCACATTGCTAATATATATATTTTAAAAATAAAAATGTTTAAAGCTTACAAAGGAGCGACTGATGTTGTAAAACAACCAATTAAAATGGATGGGCTGCGTAAGGTTTGAAATTTTTTATCCAAAGGTGTAATTAATTTTATCAACAAATATAATATTAAATATTTACTAATATCTATCTTAATCATCATTATAGAATATACAAATGTATGTGATGGACCCGGGTTACATTCATGACTGAGGGATTAGAAAGTACTGCTTCTTTTTTGTGCTTATGAGTTTGTTAAACGATTGTTGATTCGCTATTTTATTTGTTAGTGGTAAAGTATTACTATTATTAATACATATAATATAATTCCAAAACAAGGTTTCTTTGATTTCTAAGTGCTACGCCTGGTGTGAACATGAATTTTAAATTAAATTTAAAGTTACACGACGATTTTTATTACGTAAAAAAATTTACTGAATTAATCCAAAAAAATCCAACTTATCAATGGGGGGTCTGTGTAATGAAAGTCTTCAGTTATACAAAAATTTTGAGTCGCATCACGCCCTATACCAGGGTGGTCATTTGTCATGGCTCGGGTACCTGACCCGGTGCATCCAACCCGGGTTCAACCTATACACTACAGCACTACCTGGACCTAAAACACGTATTATTTATTTCGTCTCATAAATGCATGACCAAATATCCTTTAAATCTAAGCATATGATATCTCATCTGACCGTTATTTGATCACGTTTATATGTTGGCATCTTATTCGACTTCTTTCCACAAATCATTCGCTTTCATTATAAAATATTGATAACTTTCTATGTCGCTTAAAATTATATTTTAAATTTTATGTATTATTTATTTTATCGTTTTTTTCTTTTGTAAAAAAAGATAACATTTCTTTTTAAGCCTTGAAGCTGTTGTCCGAATAAAGTTAGCATAGAACCTGTTAATTTTATTCGGCTTGGGTTTACTAGCAGGTCTTCCAAACTACATCCGGAAAACAGTAAAAGCTCTAAGTCACAATATATGTTATCACGCATTTTGATATGGTCAAAAGTACGTTGAAATTTTCGACTTTCGACAAATCAAATTTCAGTTTCGCCCACAAGCATAACTATCACTATTAAATATTTTTCTTAGGAATTAACAGTCACATGGAAAGAAAAGTAGTGATCTAATTTATTTAAATTTTTTACCAATAAGTTAAAATAAAAAACTGCTTCAAGTACAAGCTTCCTATTGTAAGAGGATGAAGAAGTCATTTTAGCGAATAAAAAAGATTATTAATGAGTAGTAGTAACGAAAATTTAATTCGCTTTATTAACATTAAGATTTAAGAGAGTAGAGTTAAAATCAAGGTTATTTAATGAACTATCATTACTTTTATAACCTTTTAAGTTGGTTTGCTTGATAATTTCATCATCTAAATATTCTACTTGTATGGTATGTGATTTGTTGCAAAACACCACCACGACCACCATTGCTGTTACCATCATTATTAAAATCAATTTCATGCTCATTGCCTTTAGAAAAATTGAATAATATTTTTATAAGACAATTGTTTTTCAAATCTTTAGCTGTATGAAATTCTTTAAACTTTTCTTTAGAACAAAGAAAAAGCTCGCTAATAGTCGGTCTTTTGATAGATCCACATCCAATGCTTCTGCATAATCATTAGGAATTTGAGATAATACTGGTGGTCGTAAACCTTCATATACAGTATATCAAAAAATAAACAATGATTATGAGCTCTATTGTCAAATGGTGAGTGGTCTGCAAATTGCCTCCAAGTAGCCCAGACACAACGTATGATACAATACCATAGATTTATTTGATGACTTCTGAACTGTTCACATATAACATCAATAATATATTACACTACGTAAATCACAATCAATAAATCTTTTCCATATATAATGATATGACCATCTAAAAAAATGAAATTCTATTTTTTAATGTCGAAATAGTATATTTTTTTGTAAATAACCTCTTAAATTCCTTCTAAATAATAATTTAAACTATTGCATAATTTCCATTTATCTGGGCATTTAGTTATACCATAGTAATAGTAAATAACAATTCCTCACAATTTAATTTTCCATGTAGCTATATAAATTGAACTAAATTCACCTTCAATTAATTTTGTTATATCTTCTAATTGCTCAAAAAATATCCATTCTACAATAAAAGTTGAATTCATTTGACATAGTTATTAATTATGTTATTTTCAGGTCTCCAATTATTAAAAAACTCTAATTGTAAATTAATACAAACTTTACAGAATCTATCAGGATATTTTGTCAACTTACACTTGCTACATTCTTTTGGTTACCTAATTTATAAATTGCATTCCCTAATTCAAAGTCGGAAAGCTTCTTGTTTTTCTTGATTAATGAAAAAAATAATCTTTTCTATTTTCTCTATCAGAATTAACCAGATTATACATTTCATTATGAACTTCAATTACAGACTCTTTCTTTCTAGCGATAATGATGATGATAATTTATTATATGACGTTTTTAACTTCTCTTAATGTAAATTTATTTTGGAAACAGATTTTTTGAGATAAAAACAAATAGGATTGGGGTCGTTGTGCCAGATCTAGCTGCCTTTACTTGATTGTCTATAATTGCGATTATGGCCACCAACTTGTCACTACACCCATCAACAGTTTGATACATATGGCTAAAACATAAATCATTGTTACAGCAGCAATTCTGGATGCTTTTATAAAAGAATCACTTGTTTATTTATAACTGCAATTACGGTCACCAATCTGTGGTAGGAGCCAACTTGTCAAGTAATTTCCTCGATAGCGAAGAAGAGTTTGAAGAAATCCCTTTCTTTTACCAATCTTTTTTATAACTTTTCAGATTATCAAGCAATGAAAAGTTTAATTCACTTTTATTATTATCATGGTAGTGTGCGTACCTTTTTTATGCTAATAAATATTAACTAATTTTGAAAAAAAATAAAAATTGCATTATTTAAAGAACAACTTTGACATCAAAAAGGTTTTTCGCTATCATCAAATTGTGATTCTAGTGATTAGCAATGAAAGAATTTAGCATATTTTATCTTTAAAACTTTAAAACTTACAAAAACCTATGCCTAAACCTGTAATATATACCATGTAAAAATCATCCTACATACCAATATCGACTAATCTATGTGTGTTTCCAATTCGGAAAAACATCAAACCAACACAATGTTAAGGTTGCTCTATATACCAATATTGACATGCCTATGTGTGTTTCAAACTCGGGCACTGAATACCAACCACCATTCGAACACATTTTATTTTATTTTATTTTTTATTTATGAAATAATAATAATTAGTTTCCTATAAATTTATACAATTTGATTAATAATAATAATGTGTACAGGTATATTATAAATACAATGAAAATAATACAATACTAATACTATTACTACATATATTCTATATACAAAACTAAGTCATTCTCGTGGAATGCTTCGTAGAAATTATTTTGGTCATATAAATTCACGAAAATATCAGATATTTTAATAATTAATTAGTAATGAAAAATTAATTCTCCACGTTTACGAGAGTAGAATTACAATCAAGATTATTTAAAGAAGTATGATTTGTATAAAATTTTAAGCTTTTTGAAATTTCGCCATCTAATATTCTACTCATATGGTATGCATCTGGATGTGATTTGTGCACTCGTTGCGAATCACCACCACCACTACCAACATCAGTTTCATGTTTTTTAATTTTAGAAAATTTGAATAATCTTTTTATTAAACTATTATTGTTGCTATCGCATTTAAAAAATCCGAATGAACTATTATTATTATTTTTAAAAAATTCTCCAAGTTTATTAAAAGCAAATGTCCGAAGCTCATCAATAGTTGGTCTTTTTGATGGATCCACATCCCAACATCTCTGCATCATTTGCACATAATCGTCAGGCATTTCAGGTAATATTGGTGGTCGTAAACCTTCTTCACATATATCAAGAATTAAATGATGATTATGAGCTCTATCATCAAATGGTGGATGGCCTGCAAATATTTCCCACATTAACATCCCAATACTGTAAATATCTGTTTCTTTTGTGTTCTTTGCATTATTCATGCCTCTAAGTAGCTCAGGTGCAATGTATGATACAATACCATATATTTTATTTGATGACTTATCAATTGGTCCACATAACCCCAAATCTGTAATATAACAAATACCTCCTGCCATTAATACATTACCACTATGTAAATCACAATGGATTAAATCTTTTCCATGTATATAATATAATGCAACACATAACCATCTAAAAATTGTAATTCTATTTTTTAATGTCAAATTAAAATGATTTTTTCGTAAATAATCCCTTAAATCTCCTTCTGGTTGATAATTTATAACCATTGCATAATTTCCATTATCTGGGAATTTAGTTATACCATAGCAAGGAATAATCATTGTTGATTTAATTTTACAATAATTCATTGCCTATAATTAAATATAAAATCATTTAATATTATATAATACAGCATTATTTATTTTCGTTTTAAATAAAAACTACCAACCTCATCAAAAAAGCCTTTTCCTGGGTCACTTGAATTATTTAAACTTTTTAATACTACATGATAAGAACCAAAATAATTAAATTGCTTTTTATTTTCATCATAATCGGTTATATTTCCTCTTGTCCACGTAGCAGTATAAATTGAACTAAATCCACCTTCAGTTAATTTTGTTATATCTTCAAATTGCCCAAAAGGTATCCATTCTAAAATATGTCTTGGCAAAGATGACTCCTTTTGACTTTGTTGAATAAAGTTATCAATTATGTCATTTCCAGAAGTCCAAGTGGCGAAAAGATTCTGTAATTGTAAACTAATACAACTTTCACAGAATCTATCAGAGTATCTTATTGATTTACACTTTTTACACTCTTTTGGTTTGTTCTTTTTATAAATTGTATTATTTAATTCAAGCTCATAAATAAACTTTTCTCTACAAAATTCTTTTTCATTTGCAGAAAGTTCCTTGTTTTTCTTGACTAATGAAAAAAAATAGCCTTTTCTACTTTTTCTTTTAGAATTAACCACCGCATTATTATACATTTCGTTATGGATTTTCATTACAAATTTCTTTCTTTCTGGTGATAATAATTTATTATACGACATTTTTAACATTTTGGAAAAGTATGTCTACAGTAACATGTTTATTCATATTAAGGGATCTTTGGGCATTTTATAGGTGCAATCTGCTTAACGGATATAAATAAAAAATAGTCATTATAATAATGACAACGTCACATTTTTTAATGTCCGCAAAGTTACTATTTTTAAGATTTGTTTGTTTATCATAGATTCTATTTTTGCCGTCAAATAAAATATAATAAAAATGAGTTTATGTGAAACTAGAAAGTATCAAGTATTTTACTCGAAATTGGCAAAGTTGTATTATTGTTACAAAAAATTCAATCACGGAAAAAAGCAAGTCAAGGAACAAAGGAGAATTTTTTGATGCATTAAAAACAGTGTGGAATAATCTAATTTAAATATATTGATAGTAAGTATGCCATGTGTACTTGTTGCCAAAACTCAAAAGGTCAAATCTCAATCTCAATCCCAAATCTCAAACTCTTGAATTTCATGGATTGGGTGACACATTTAGGTACGTGTCTTGTTTTACGGTATTTCAGGAGGCTGGGATTACGCTTTAAAATTTTTACCTATTTTGGATTTGGGACTCTGGGCGGTAAGTATATATAATAAATATATAGTAATAGTAATAGTAATAAAGTCTACACAGGTTACGTACATCTGCGCCTCCGTACCAAGTAATGCCTGTATGTACTCAAAGCCACACTCAACCAAATCGAGAATACACAAATTTAGTACAGTGAGCGGGAATTTAAAAGTGCGCAGAAACTCTACCAACCGTAAAAATAAAGAATATCCTACTAGATATTGAAATTTTGTAATCCCGTTTTTATAATACATGCACTAGAGGTTGCAATATTCATTGAACATTCAGTGAATATTTGGTTAATCGGACATTTGATTTTTTCATTGATTGATTGACCGAATATGATAAATTAAAAGTGAATATTCAGTGAATATTATTATTCAGCTGATCAATATCTCGATATCTCGATATCTCGTGTAACTGAATTTTCTCACATCCAGATAAATTCTCGTTTAATTCATTTGTTGTTCATTCTAATTAATTTAAAATAGAAGAGAGGCATCCAGTCACTATAATAGGAAAAACCAATAATACAATAATGAAAGGGAAGGAGCCTTTTATAATTCCAAAAAGCCAAGTTGAATATTGAAAGATGATCTATTCTACATAATAATAAAAATAGATTTCCGATTTTGTCAAAGTTACGAAATATTTGTGTGTGCCTGGAACGTCCACGCCAAGCGAGAGATTATTTAATTAAAACTTTATTTTTTTTTGATTGATAGTTTAGTTTTGAAATAATTAATAATTTGTTAAAATGAAATATTCATTGAATTATTCACTGAATAATTAATTAATTTTATTACAAATGATTATCCAGATATATTATAAAGAATATTCAGAAGTACGACCTCTACATGCATAAAACCCGAGATATTATTTTTATTGGCAAAATTCGATTAAAAATGGAACGAAAAACTAAACAGGTTTTCTTATCAACATTTATCAAATTTGGAAATCCTTTTGATCATATGATTTAACGTGATATATTATATTTTAATAATACACCGGATACAAGCAATCTTACACACTAGATTTTTTTATACATTAAACTATAAAATCTCTTTTTTTTACAAAATTGATTATATAATATTTTAATTCTAACAGTTAGTAGTAATTGTGAATCTTAGACCATTATCTAATACCTTACCATGTTTGCATGAAGATATTGGAAACAAATTATCCAGAAAACCAGTTGGCAATAATGATAGAAATATGCATCATCGGTCGAATATGCAAATCTCATTGCCAAGTATTATCCTTAATTAAAAATTGCTCAGTTTGTCAAAGTCAAATGTTGCTAAAAAATTTTTTCTTGAGAATTACAAAGGATGATATAAATAGCTTAGCAGTTCACAAGATCAGGATATTATTTCCTTTAAAAGATTAATTAATCAAGGGATTTTATTTGTTTTCTTCGCAAAGGATTTTTTTTTAACAACCAAAATTTGTAAATAACTTTTGATGTTTGTATGAAACTTATTTTTTTATAGCGATAGACTTGAAAAGAAAAAATCCAATCGATCCTTTGATTCACATGAGGGTTCTTCTTTGCAAAGGATTCTCCATTAATTTTATTAAATTCATGAACAATTTCCCTTTGTATATGTACTTTTTTTAAATAAGTAAATAAATTTTTTGCTCAACACAATGAATAAAATAAAAATAAAAATAATATGACTGGCTAATGCTGATGCTCAGAACGATATATAGACACCATGCATTGAATTTGACGTAGAACGCCATTTGGCACTACATGTTTTGACCCTCGAATTTGAATCCAACGCAAAAAGCAAAACTGATGCACGTTTTTTGGTCCACAATTGGGAGTAGCGGTCTATTTATGTGTTTTTGTTGTAATTTATTAGGCTAATCTATCTGTCCATGAAGTAATCTGTTTTTATTAAAATATTGCGTCGTTGATCACGACATGATAGAATGCTAAGATGCTTCGCATCCGGTGCTAATTTTGATGCTCCGAACGAATATATATGTACGTGATTGAGCCATGTGATTTTATAATACTATGGACACCAAAAAATTATCATCGCACTATAATACTAATTTGTATTTCAGGATGTAAAATTGAAAAACAAAAATTCCATTATCGCCAAACTTTAGTGATCGATTTATCGTGATTTAACAACAAAAGGATCTTAACATTGAAGATTTAAAAGTGATAAAAACTTATAAAAACACTGTATGTACCAAAACACATCTTATGTGATATGTAAATGTCGTTCTAAGTACCAATATTGATCAACATATGCCGCTTCAAACTCAGACATTAAAGACAGTTCAAGCACATTTTAATGCTAGTTTATGAATATTAACATAGATATTAGGTATATGAACAAGATCGGCCAAAGGATATTCACCAATCAAATAATATTTTCCCTCAAGAAATTTTTCATAGACATCCAATGTCTGTTCAATTTTTTCTTTTGCTTCTTTACCCATATATTTTACATAAATAGTTTCCTCGTAATTAATAGCTGTTGATGGTATTTCAAAATATAAACTTTCGACTGATAAGTATTGTTCAACCAAAGTGGCCTTTTGTATATATATCTTTTGGAATCAGTCTTGTACAGTGCACGCTGCTATAACCCATCAAATACTGTGCAAAATGTTTCAAATTCACAAATATTTTTGTATTTTTTTATATTACTTTCATTACAAAATTGATGTCAAAAAAATTGAGGTAACTTGACACGATTAAAGAATAAAATTATTATTAATTGGGGCATGCTGCAACAAAATCAGACAAAGTGAACATTTGTATTACCAAAGATTTCAGGGATCAAAATTTAGTCATATGTAATGTGATTATAATTATCAGTTTTATAATATCCTATTTGTTATCTTAAGTGATATATAGAATTACCTCTATATAAAAATAGTTAATATGAAACTCATTTATATCAGACCTACTATGGAACCCAAGAATTATAGCACCATTAGAAGTATTTTGAAGAAGGAACAAGGTGAAAAAATTGTTCCTTACATTTTTAAATTAGCAGACATCAAATCTTTGCAAACATATTTAAATAAAGAAAGGATTATCTATGAAATTTATCAAGAGGAAAGAGTTTTCAAAATAGCATTAGAGAATTCTAGTAAAGAATCAAGAAAAAAAAGAAAACTGGCAGAATAACTAAAACAAATAATTACTTTTTTTT